CGAGGTCCGTAGTTTGGGGGGCCCGAGTTCCGACTTGGGTAAGGTGGACTGCCACTCGTAAGCGTGGCTGACGGTAAGTCTCTGATTCCAGTTTCCCACTTATTTTCCAATTGGCCCTTGGTAGTTGGGAGGATTTGGTTGGGGGGAGGCGTTTGCTTGTCGGGGATAGGAGGTTGTTTTATGCCGAATGGGGCGGAAGGTGCCGGGGTTTTGCTGCTTAGTGTGGGGAGGCTAGGTCCTGGGGTAAATTTGGGCGTACGTCAGCAGGGTGGCGCCCGGGGGCCTAGGGCGGTATGGGCGATTGAGGTGCGTACCTGGCCCCTGTGGGAACGAAAGCGTGTAGTTTTTCCCGAAAGGGGGTTCTGCGGGGCGGTACGGGGTTAGGGGGGGCGTACGGTCATGGGGTTTTTTGGTGAGTGGGGGGGGGGTATTCTGTCGGGAGGTTTTGGGGAGGTGGGGTTCGAGTGGGGGGCTAGGAGGGTGGTGTCCCCGTCGTTCTTGGCGGACGTTGGGTTTCCGGGGGTAGGATTGGCGAGGGACCAGTGGTCTTTTAGTGCTATGCCTGGTGGAGGGAATCGGTGGGTTTTTTTAGGGGGTGGTGGTTGACAGAGGATGTTTTTTGGTCCGCGACGGCCGGGGCTGTTTTTTATCCGTGCTTGGGGAGTTGCAGGTTGGCCTTCTGGCCGGAGGCTGGGCCGGAGGGGATAGGAAAGGGGGAGTCGTAGGCACTTGTTAGGCGTAGTTGGGTGGAAGGGAGGTGGGCTGTGGGGAAGTCAATCAGCGGGGTGCCCTCAGGTCTACTGGGGGAGGGCGGGGACGGCGCCCGAGAGGGAGTGTTCGGGATTAGGGAGTGGTGGGTTGGGTAGGGAATGGGTTACTTATGATTTTGGGGGATTTTAAAATTCCCAAAATTCCAATTGGGGTTTTGTGGGTTTTAAGTTTTTGGGGGGTCCCATGGGGGTTTTTTTTTTTTAAAAGGGGGGTTAAAATTTGGGTTAATAAAAATTTTTTAATTTATGGGATTTTGGGGGGGAAAGGGGGGTGGGTTGTGGGGGTAGTTGGGTTGGACGGGGGGGGGTGGGTGGGGGGGTGGGGTGGGGGAAGGGTAGTCCTGGGCGGAGGTTTTCAAATGGGGGGCATGGGTGGCGACGAGGTTGGTGGTGAGTGGAAGGCCGGTTTTCCCCCGGTAAGGTCAGGGCGGTGGGGTCAACTGTGGTGCGGGGGTCGGGTGGGGTGGTCGGGAGATGGGGCAGCTGGGCTTCTGGTTAGTTCTTTTGGGTTTTGAGCTCGGGGTTGTAGCCGAATAACCCGTCGGCGGCGCAGTGGGTGCTAGGCGGAGACGGGGGGCCGGACGCCTAGTGGTGGTTGCGGTTTGGGGTTTTTTGCATTGGTCCTTTGGAGGGAGGGGTCCGAGTGGCGGAGGGTTGTCTGTTTCACTTTTTCGTACGGGCCGGCGTAGGGCCTGAGAGGCGGATTGTGTGGGAGGCGGCGAGTAACTGGGGGAGTGTCCCTACTGTTTTCTGAGCCCATCGTTGCGGTGGGCTATGAGTTCGGCGGTTGGCCCTGATTTGTGGTAGGTGGGTTTTGGTTAGCGGATGTCGGAGTGCGTGGGGAATTTAGGGGGTCGGGTGTGGGGGGACTGAGGTGGGGGTACGTTCGTATTAGGGGTGGTGGGAGTGGGGAGTTGTTTCGAGGTTTCGGGCGGTCGGAATGTCAGGGTCTCTGGTGATGCGTTGCGACGACCTGTCTGGTGTTAGGCTTGGGGCGGCTGCTCTGGCGTGGGGGGTAGGAGTAGGGTAGTGCTGTCGTATCGTCGGCGTGGGGCCATTGGGGTGCTGACGGTGTTGGTCGAGGTATGGTGTGTCGGGGGGAGGAGTTGGTGGTGGGGGAGTTTCCGGGAGTTTTTATGGGTCTGGCTTCCTTGGGAGGGAGGTGGTGCCGTTATGCTTGATTGGAGGAGTTGGGAGAGTTTATGGTTTTAGGCAATTTCCGGGGCGTATTCGGGCAGTGCGGTATGGGCGGATGGCGGCTTGGGTTTTGTGGGGAGATGGGAGGTGGACTACCCTCCATTACTGCCAACTACCCCCCCTAAGTTCCCACCCTACCGTGGCCCAGCTTGCCGAGTTCCCGCGTGTAAGCCCCTGGGTTGATCCCTTTTTCTTTCTGTTAATTCGACTTCGGGGTCTCTTCTTTTCCCAACTTTTTAAATTTTACTAATTTTTAAAATTTTTACCCAAACCAACTTGCCCCCCAACAATCTTTAAAAAAAATTGGTTATGGGTTTTTTAAAATTTAAATTTGGGGGAAAAAAGGGGGGGGGGATTTGATTTTTTTTTTTTATAATGAGTTTAAAGGGGGGAGGGAAAAATTTTCATTTTTTTAATTTTGGGGGGTTTTGAAAATAGGGGCATTTTTTTAAAAATTTTATTGGGTTAATTTTTTTTGGGGTTTTAAAGTTAAGGGGGTTTTTTTTAAAATTTTACCTTTTTTTTTTTAAATTTTGGGGGATGGGGGGTTATTTTTTTACGGGGGGTTTTTTTTTTTTTAAAATTTTAAATTTTATTTTTTTTAAAATTTTTTTTTAATGGGGGGGATTTGGTAGGGGTGGCTTTTTTTTTTTACTTGAAAGGGGTTTTTTTTAAATCATTTTGACCTTTTTTTAAAAACCCAATTAGAGGTAATGTTTTAAAAGGGGGGGAAAAACATTTTTCAAACAAAAACCCCCAAAATTTCCCCACAAATATCCAAAACTAATCCCCCAAACACCTTTAAAAATTTAAAAAAAAAGAAAACAGATTAACCAAACCAACAAAAAACAAATGAACATTCACACCAAATGCGGCTGAAAACAAAAAAAAGAGTTTTATGTCATTATGGTTGGAAGCAAAAGTATCAATGATACCCTCAAAGTTCACACTCTGGACTCTTTTCAAAATTTATAGGAATAAATGCAACACCACTTGTTCTATCACTACTGCTGTTCTTCAATTAAGTTTCTGTCATATGCAGACAGGAAAACCTACATTCACATGCTGCAGAATTAAGTAGCATAGTGATGCACACCAGCTTATACAGATCTATGAAACCATCACAGTATAGTCTGAGCATAGCAGCAAATTCAAACTGCACTGTGACAGTATGACCCTCTTGTTTTTTCTCTTAATTAGACATTGCACTTCAAGAAGCTCAACACTTAAATTTTTCCTCTTTTATAGGGAGCTTTAGAGGGCTGAAGGAAATTATAGGAGGCTTTTGGTGCCTGAAGAAAATTATGGGGGGCTTTTGGTGGCTAAAACTAGAGGGCTGAAACCCCTTAAGTCCCCCTTTTACTGTTTTTAAAAAGTTGCAGAAAAAAAGCGTCAATGTTTACAAAAAAATTGAAAGAAGCACAGATATGTACATGTAAATCTTGGTTTCTCTCTCTCCATGAAACCGCAGTCTAAGAAACCCTTTCCCTTTTACTTCCTCTAAAAATCGGAATTTGTCAGGTTAACTTTTTCAATCGGGGCCATTAGCCCCCGGGGGTGGAGGTGGGGGGACGGGGGAGCGAGGGGATGCGTCGCCTTTTCGAAGTATCGCCATAACATCTGCCCTATGGACTCGCACCCCCTTTTGTCTGAGAAATACAATCATGTATTGTCATGGAAAAGAAAATTGAGTTTTTAACAAGATAGCTACCTAGAATCTGCTTAAAACCTAGATAAATAATTAAAAAAAGGATTAAAAAGTAAAGAGGGCAGGAATAATAAAGGGAAAAAAAAGGGGTTTGGTAAAAAGAACTCATGTTTTAAAAAGCAAAAATAAGAGAAGATGCATAAAATGTCTTAAAAAAAAAGTGAAGAAAGATGTTTTTTCTCTAGAAATCTTTAGAACTGGGTTTACAGGAATCATTCCAGGGCAACAAGATTGAATTATATTTAAGTTTAAAGAAAGCTTTTAAAACAGTTTTTCCCTGAAAGCTTTAAAAATCCCTCAGAATACCGCGAATTGGCAGGTGAAGTAGGCAAGCAGACTGAATTTTAAAATAATAAATGTCACGAATTTAGAAAAGGCATATGAAGAGGGAAAGCCCGTTTGGGGAATATGATGTAAAAAGAGTTAAGGGGAAAAAGTTAGCTATGAGAAGTTTTTAAAAGTAGAAGGGTGCATGAGAAAAAGTATATGGAGAAAAAGAGAGAGGTTTTAAGAGAGTGGTGAGGGAATGTAAAAAGGAGCAAATAGAGGGGGTGAGATTTATCAAAAAAATTTTTTTTAAAAAAAAAAAAGTTTTGGAGTGAGATTAAAATTAAAAGCCTAGAAAAAATGGATTTTTTTTTTTTTTTTTTTCAACAATCAGCCGTCTCCCCCGAGGGAGGGTGACCCAAAAAAGAAAGAAAATCCCCAAAAAGAAAATACTTTCATCATCATTCAACACTTTCACCACACTCACACATTATCACTGCTTTTGCAGAGGTGCTCAGAATACAAAAGTTTAGAAGCATTTACGTATAAAGATACACAACATATCCCTCCAAACTGCCAATATCCCAAACCCCTCCTTTAAAGTGAAGGCACTGTACTTCCCATTTCCAGGACTCAAGTCCGACTATCTGAAAATAACTGGTTTCCCTGAATCCCTTCACTAAATATTACCCTGCTCACACTCCAACAGATCGTCAGGTCCCAAGTATCATTCGTCTCCATTCACTCCTATCTAACACGCTCATGCATGCTTGCTGGAAGTCCAAGCCCCTCGCCCACAAAACCTCCTTTACCCCCTCTTTCCAACCCTTTCGAGGACGACCCCTACCCCTCTTTCCTTCCCCTATAGATTTATATGCTTTCCATGTCATTCTACTTTGATCCATTCTCTCTAAATGACCAAACCACCTCAACAACCCCTCTTCTGCCCTCTGACCTAATGCTTTTATTAACTCCACACCTTCTCCTAATTTCCACACTCCGAATTTTCTGCATAATATTTACACCACACATTGCCCTTAGACAGGACATCTCCACTGCCTCCAACCGTCTCCTCGCTGCTGCATTTACCACCCAAGCTTCACATCCATATAAGAGTGTTGGTACTACTATACTTCATACATTCCCTTCTTTGCCTCCATAGATAACGTTTTTTGACTCCACATAACCTCAATGCACCACTCACCTTTTTTCCCTCATCAATTCTATGATTAACCTCATCCTTCATAAATCCATCCGCCGACACGTCAACTCCCAAGTATCTGAAAACATTCACTTCTTCCATACTCCTCCTCCCCAATTTGATATCCAATTTTTCTTTATCTAAATCATTTGATACCCTCATCACCTTACTCTTTTCTATGTTCACTTTCAACTTTCTACCTTTACACACATTCTCAAACTCATCCACTAACCTTTGCAATTTTTCTTTAGAATCTCCCATAAGCACAGTATCATCAGCAAAAAGTAACTGTGTCAATTCCCATTTTGAATTTGATTCCCCATAATTTAATCCCACCCCTCTCCCGAACACCCTAGCATTTACTTCTTTTACAACCCCATCTATAAATATATTAAACAACCATGTGGACATTACACATCCCTGTCTAAGACCTACTTTTACCGGGAAGTATTCTCCCTCTCTTCTACACACCCTAACCTGAGCCTCACTATCCTCATAAAAGCTCTTTACAGCATTTAGTAACTTACCACCTATTCCATAAACTTGCAACATCTGCCACATTGCTCCTCTATCCACTCTATCATATGCCTTTTCTAAATCCATAAATGCAATAAAAACTTCCCTACCTTTATCTAAATACTGTTCACATATATGCTTCAATGTAAACACTTGATCTACACATCCCCTACCCACTCTGAAGCCTCCTTGCTCATCTGCAATTCTACATTCTGTCTTACCTCTAATTCTTTCAATTATAACTCTACCGTATACTTTTCTGGTATACTCAGTAAACTTATTCCTCTATAATTTTTACAATCTCTTTTGTCCCCTTTCCCCTTTATATAAAGGGACTATACATGCTCTCTGCCAATCCCTAGGTACCTTCCCCTCTTTCATACATTTATTAAACAAAAGTACCAACCACTCCAACACTATATCCCCCCCTGCTTTTAACATTTCTGTCATGATCCCATCAGTTCCAGCTGCTTTACCCCCTTTCATTCTTCGTAATGCCTCACGTACCTCCACCACACTTACATTCTGCTCTTCTTCACTCCTAAAAGATGGTATACCTCCCTGGCCAGTGCATGAAATTACCGCCTCCCTTTCTTCCTCAACATTTAAAAGTTCCTCAAAATATTCTCGCCATCTACCTAATACCTCCCTCTCCCCATCTACTAACTCCCCTACTCTGTTTTTAACGAACAAATCCATATTTTCCCTAGGCTTTCAGTTAAAAATAGGAGAGTTATTAAATGGAGAGTTAGAGGTATTGGGAAGTGGAGGGAATATTTTGAGGAATTGTTAAATGTTGATGAAGATAGGGGAGCTGTGATTTCATGTATAGGGCAAGGAGGAATAACATCTTGTAGGAGTGAGGAAGAGCCAGTTGTGAGTGTGGGGGAAGTTCGTGAGGCAGTAGGTAAAATGAAAGGGGGTAAAGCAGCTGGGATTGATGGGATAAAGATAGAAATGTTAAAAGCAGGTGGGGATATAGTTTTGGAATGGTTGGTGCTATTATTTAATAAATGTATGGAAGAGGGTAAGGTACCTAGGGATTGGCAGAGAGCATCCATAGTTCCTTCGTATAAAGGCAAAGGGGACAAAAGAGAGTGCAAAAATTATAGGGGGAGAAGTCTGTTGAGTATACCTGGTAAAGTGTATGGTAGAGTTATTATTGAAAGAATTAAGAGTAAGATGGAAAATAGGATAGCAGATGAACAAGGAAGCTTTAGGAAAAGTAGGGGGTGTGTGGACCAGGTGCTTACAGTGAAACATATAGTGAACAGTATTTAGATAAGGCTAAAGAGGTTTTTGTGGCATTTATGGATTTGGAAAAGGTGTATGACAGGGTGGATAGGGAGGCAATGTGGCAGATGTTGCAGGTGTATGGTATAGGAGGTAGGTTACTGAAAGCAGTGAAGAGTTTTTATGAGGATAGTGAGGCTCAAGTTAGAGTATGTAGGAAAGAGGGTGATTATTTCCCAGTAAAACCAGGAATAATGGATTTAAGTTGGATAAATTTAGATTCAGAAAGGACATAGGTAAGTACTGGTTTTCTAACAGACTTGTAGATGCGTGGAACAGTCTTCCCAGTGGGGTGATAGAGGTTAGGACCTTGGGTAGCTTTAAGAAGAGACTGGACAAATATATGAGTGGGAGGGGCTGGGTTTGATTGGTGTCAAGGGGTACGGGAGTTATTTCTTGAGTAGCTTTAGGTAGATGTCATTTTGATAAGGACCTGCCTCGTATGGGCCAGTAGGCCTTCTGCAGTGTTCCTACATTCTTATGTTCTTATGTTCTTAAAAGTAGGCCTTAAACAAGGATGGTGATGTTACCGTGGTTGTTTAATATATTTATAGATGGGGTTGTAAGAGAAGTAAATGCAAGGGTCTTGGCAAGAGGCGTGGAGTTAAAAGATAAAGAATCACACATAAAGTGGGAGTTGTCACAGTTGCTCTTTGCTGGTGACACTGTGCTCTTGGGAGATTCTGAAGAGAAGTTGCAGAGGTTGGTGGATGAATTTGGCAGGGTATGTAAAAGAAGAAAATTAAAAGTGAATACAGGAAAGAGTAAGGTTATGAGGATTGGATATCAGATTGGAGGGAGAGAGTATGGAGGAGGTGAATGTATTCAGATATTTGGGAGTGGACGTGTCAGCGGATGGATCTATGAAAGATGAGGTGAATCATAGAATTGATGAGGGGAAAAGGGTGAGCGGTGCACTTAGGAGTCTGTGGAGACAAAGAACTTCGTCCTTGGAGGCAAAGAGGGCAATGTATGAGAGTATAGTTTTACCAACGCTCTTATATGGGTGTGAAGCATGGGTGATGAATGCTGCAGCGAGGAGAAGGCTGGAGGCAGTGGAGATGTCATGTGAGCGGTGCACTTAGGAGTCTGTGGAGACAAAGAACTTCGTCCTTGGAGGCAAAGAGGGCAATGTATGAGAGTATAGTTTTACCAACGCTCTTATATGGGTGTGAAGCATGGGTGATGAATGTTGCAGCGAGGAGAAGGCTGGAGGCAGTGGAGATGTCATGTCTGAGGGCAATATGTGGTGTGAATATAATGCAGAGAATTCGTAGTTTGGAAGTTAGGAGGAGGTGCGGGATTGCCAAAACTGTTGTCCAGAGGGCTGAGGAAGGGTTGTTGAGGTGGTTCGGACATGTAGAGAGAATGGACTTCAAGAGTGTATCAGTCTGTAGCAGAAGGAAGGTGGGGTAGGGGTCGGCCTAGGAAAGGTTGGAGGGAGGGGGTAAAGGAGGTTTTGTGTGCGAGGGGCTTGGACTTCCAGCAGGCATGCATGAGCATGTTTGATGGGAGTGAATGGAGACAAATGGTTTTTAATATTTGACGTGCTGTTGGAGTGTGAGCAAAGTAACATTTATGAAGGGATTCAGGGAAACTGGCAGGCAGGACTTGAGTCCTGGAGATGGAAAGTACAGTGCCTGTACTCTGGAGGGGTGTTAATGTTGCAGTTTAAAAACTGTAGTGCAAAACACCCTTCTGGCAAGACAGTGATGGAGTGAATGATGGTGAAAGTTTTTCTTTTTCGGGCCACCCTGCCTTGGTGAGAATCGGCCAGTGTGCTAATAAAAAAAATATAACAGAGTGGATAGGAGAGCAATGTGGCATATGTTGAAAGTGTATGGAATAGGTGGTAAGTTACTAAGCACTGTAAAGAGTTTTTATGAGGATAATGAGGCTCAGGTTAGGGTATGTAGGAGAGAGGGAGATTACTTCCCAGTAAAAGTAGGTCATAGACAAGGATGTGTAATGTCACCAAGGTTGTTTAAAATACAGTATTTATAGATGGGGTTGTAAAAGAAGTAAATGCTAGGGTGTTGGGGAGAGGGGTGGGACTAAATTATGTGGAATGAAATACAAAATGGGAGTTGACACAGTTACTTTTTGCTGATGACACTGTGCCTTTTGGAGATTCTAAAGAAAAGTTGCAAAGGTTAGTGGATGAGTTGGGGTGGGTGTGTAATGGTAGAAAGTTGAAAGTGAACATAGATAAGAGTAAGGTGATGATGGTATCAAATGTTTTAGATAAAGAAAAACTGGATCTCACATTGGAGGGAGGGAGTATGGAAGAAGTGAATGTTTTCAGATATTTGGCAGTTCATTTGTCAGTGGATGAATTTATGAAGGATGAGGTTAACAACAGAATTGATGAAGGAAAAACGGTGAGTGGTGCATTGAGGTATCTGTGGAGACAAAAAAAAAAGTTATCCATAGAGGCAAAGAAGGGAATGTACGAGAGTATAGTGGTACCAACACTCTTATATGGGTGTGAAGCAGGGGTTGTAAATGCTGCAGCAAGGAGGCGGCTGGAGGCAGTGGAGATGTTGTGTATAAGGGCAATGTGTGGTATAAATATTATGCAGAGAACTCATGGTGTGGAGTTACTAGAAGTATTAGTCAGAGGGCTGAAGAGGGGCTGTTGAGGTGGTTTCATCATTTAGAGAGAATAGAACAAAGTAGAATGACTTGGGGAGCATATAAATCTGTAGGGGAAGGAAGGCAGGGTAGTGGTCATCCTCGAAAAGATTGGAGGGAGGGGGTAAAGGAGATTTTGTGGGCAAGGGGCTTGGACTTTAAGAAAGTGTGCATGAGCAGGTTAGATAGGAGTGAATGAAGATGGTTTTCGGGACCTGACGAGCTGTTGGAATGTGAGCATGGTAATATTTTATGAAGGGATTCAGGGAAACTGATTAGCCGGATTTGAGTCCTGGAAATGGGAAGTACAATGCCTGCACTTTAAAGAAGGGGTTTGGGACACTGGCAGTTTGGAGGGACATCTAAACTGTCATATCTGAGTGCCTCTGCAATTCTATGATTAACTTCATCCTTCATAAATCCATCCGCCGACATGTCAACTCCCAAGTATCTGAAAACATTCACTTCTTCCATACTCCTCCTCCCCAATTTGATATCCAATTTTTCTTTATCTAAATCATTTGATACCCTCATCACCTTACTCTTTTCTATGTTCACTTAGAACTTTCTACCTTTACACACATTCCCAAACTCATCCACTAACCTTTGCAATTTTTCTTTAGAATCTCCCATAAGCACAGTATCATCAGCAAAAAGTAACTGTCTATATTAAATGTCTATATTAACATAAAATAAGACATTTAATGTGCCCAAGAGTGATTATTATTACACATTATTACTATGGCATTAAGACTAGAGGGACACTCCTAGTGATTTTAATGTGTACCTGCATGCAAGCATAGTATATAAGTATATTTAGGTACAGGTACACATAAGCATAATTATCAGAATACATATAAAATATGCAATAACTTTAAAACACTTGAAATTCTGGAAAGTTTCCAGACATAATAGAGAGATGTGCTCACGGAAAATGTAAACAAACCTGGTGGGGTGCGCAGTATTAAAAAGACCGAGAGCTGTAAAGAGTGTTTTGGTCATAATTTGAAATCATCGTATGAGCAGAACGCTGTAAGGCGAAACGCTGTAAAGCGGGGTACTACTGTATACTAGACGTAAACCCATTTACCTCTCCCCATTCAATGTCTCCCATCCCTTTCAGCACTTTTTCACTTAGTGCTAAGACATTCAGTTTCTTTTCATTCCTAACACTAACAAAGATTCTCTTATCATCAGTATTAAACCCATGCAAATTCAAACAACCCAGTTTTAAAATTTTATTCTTACTTTTTAATAACTGAATACAGCAGGAGTTACTAACCCCTTGCTTCCACTATTTGTCACCTTTTACATCATGCATGACTTACAAGGAAATAATTCAAGTCCACTATCCCCATAAGAAAAGTAACTCTTTTCTATAATTCATAAAATTACAAAATGTATAATTGCTTATATAACTAATGAATCACTATCAACAAGCAGTACAAAATGCTACAGTTTTTAATAAAGAACTTTCCTGATACTAACCTGTGCTGTTTCTTCTGTTTTTCTCTTTCTGTGAAGCAATCTACGCATTCTACCATCACTAGGCTCCTCCTCACTACTTGATTTATCTTCTAGAGGAACAGTGATTGTTGTGTTAAAAGGTGGAAGTCGTAATTCAACATTTGCTGAAATGACCCAATGCACGATAACTTATTACTCAGTACCACTTACTCATTACCAGTGCACAGGCATAAAAACAAGAAAAACAATAATTCTCAATATCCAATAACAAATGCTTATCAAATTTTTTCTCAAATTATCATTTGCTGCAATACGGTATAAAAAAATCCTGCCCCATGTAGTACATGAAGGGAAAAGCACACCTCTGACCTTGGGTTTGTTTACAACAGTGACTGAGGTTTTTTCTACATCTTAATGGTTTTACTGGCTGTTTTTTGGCATCATTTGATAGAATAAAACACATATTATCAAAATGGAGATGAATTTGTTAGTTTCAGGACCAAAAGTGGCCTGAAACTAGGCTTAAAATTTCAGAAATATTCGATTTTTAACAAATTTCCTGAGGACAGGTAAGGACCCTTTCTAAGTCTGTTTTACAGATTTTTACCAGGTCCATTTCAATTACAGTGGTCCCTCAGTAATCATCGGGCTCGATAGTCATCCTTTTCAGAAATCGTCGCATTATTTTAGTCCAAACACTGGCTCACAAATGGTCAGTTGACTCGCTAATCGTCATTTGTCCTGGACGCGTACTCACAGCTCTGAGCCACCTCGGCCTCCCTTCCCAGCCAGTGTGCCATTGCTTACCAGTAAGAGACGGTCCCTTCAATGTGTTCATACGAAATATTTCATAATATTCCATTCATTTTAGTGCTTGCAAGTGCTAAATAAGCCACCATGGTTCCAAAGAAAGCTCCTAGTGCCAAGCCTTTGGTAAAGGTGAGAAATACGATTGAATTTAAGAAAAACATCATTGAACAATATGAAAGTGGCATACGTGTGGCCGAACTGGCCAAGATGTATAACAAATCCCGTACAACCATATCTTCCATCGTGGCCAAGAAAAAGGGAATCAAGGAAGCTATTGTTGCAAAAGGGGTAAATCTTTCTTTCTTTCAACACACCGGCTGTATCTCACCGAGGCGGGGTGGCCCAAAAGGAAAAACGAAAGTTTCTCCTTTTACATTTAGTAATATATACAGAAGAGGTTACTAGCCCCTTGCTCCCGGCATTTTAGTCGCCTCTTACAACACGCATGGCTTATGGAGGAAGAATTCTGTTCCACTTCCCCATGGAGATAAGAGGAAATAAACAAGAATAAGAACTAGAAAGAAAATAGAAGAAAACTCAGAGGGGTGTGTATATATATGCTTGTACATGTATGTGTAGTGTGACCTAAGTGTAAGTAGAAGTAGCAAGACATACCTGAAATCTTGCATGTTCATGAGACAGAAAAAAGGACACCAGCAATCCTACCATCATGTAAAACAATTACAGGCTTTCGTTTTACACTCACTTGGCAGGACGGTAGTACCTCCCTGGGCGGTTGCTGTCTACCAACCTACTACCTAGGAAGGGGGTAAATATGCTGACAAAAATGAGATCACCAGTACTCGAAGAGGTTGAGAAGTTATTATTGGCGTGGATAAACGAGAAACAATTAGCAGGAGATAGTCTTATGACGTCGATTATTTGTGAAAAGGTTAGGCAGTTGCATGACAATCTGGTAAAGAAATTGCCTGCAACGAGTACTGGTATTTGCGAATTTAAGGCCATCAAAGGTTGGTTTGAGAGATTTAAGAACCATAGTGACATACACAGTGTGATAAGGCATGGTGAGGCTGCCAGTTTGGACAAAATTGCAGCTACAAAATTCTTAAGTGAATTCAAGGAGTACATAGAGGCCAGAGTACTGAAACCTGAACAAGTGTTCAATTGTGACAAAACAGGCCTCTTTTGGAAGAAAATGCCAAAGAGGACCTACATTACTCAGAATGAAAAGGGGACTGCCAGGACACAAGCCTATGAACGACAGGCTGACGCTCATGTTCTGTGCTAATGCTAGTGGGGATTTCAAAGTGAAGCCGTTACTAGTGTACCATTCTGAAAATCCCAGTGTTCAGGAAAAACAATGTTATAAAGAGTAAATTGTGTGTGTTTTGGAGATCTAATAATAAGGCATGGGTCACGAGGGAAATTTTCGTCGAGTGGTTCAATGAAGTGTTTGGCCCTAGTGTAAAGAATTACCTCCTGGAAAAGAAATTGGATCTCAAGTGCCTCCTAGTAATGCACAATGCACCTGCTCATCCTCCAAACTTGAATGATCTAATTCTGCAGGAGTCTGGGTTCATCACAGTAAAGTTCTTGCCCCCGAATACCACTCCTCTCCTCCAGCCCATGGACCAGCAGGTCATTTCAAACTTTAAAAAACTCTACACCAAAGCAATGTTTCAAAGGTGCTTTAATGTGACCTCAGACACTCACTTGACCCTAAGAGAGTTTTGGAAAGAACACTTCAGTATTCTCCATTGCATAAGCCTTATAGGTAAGGCTTGGGAGGGAGTGACTACCAGGACTTTGAACTCTCCTTGGAGAAAATTGTGGCCAGATTGTGTCCACAAGAGGGATTTTGAAGGGTTTGTGGCTGACCCTGATGAGTCTATGTCAGTTGTGAACTCTATTGTGGCATTGGGGAGTTCCATGGGGTTGGATGTGAGTTTGGAGGATGTGGAAGAGTTGGTGAAGGACCACAACGAAGAGCTAACCACTGAGGAGCTGCAAGAGCTTCAGCAGGAACAGCAACAGATCGCAGATTAGAATCTTGCTGCAAATGAGGAGGAAGAGAGATGGAAGAAGGTGCCTTCTTTAGAAATTAAGGAGATTTTTGAAATGTGGGGTAGGATGGAAAGATTTATGGAGAAACATCACCCTGAGAAGAATGTTGCAAGCCATATCGGCAACTTGTACAGCGACAGAGTCTTGGCCCATTTTAGGGAAGTTTTAAAGAGGTGCCAGAAACAGAGCTCTCTGGACACTTTTTTTGGTGAGACAGGACTCCAGTGACTCTCAAGCTGGTCCTAGTGGCATTAAGAAACAGAGAAGAGAAGTAACCCCAGAAAAGGACTTGGTACCTGAGGTGTTGATGGAAGGGGATTCCCCTTCCAAACAGTAACTAATCCAATTTTTCTCCTCCTCCAGTCTTCCATACACTAAGAAGAATCTCCAATAAAGGTAAGTGTTATGCTGTTAATGTTTCATTCATCATGTCCTATTGTATTGTTTATGTACTACATCTATATTTCATGTAAAAAATTTTTTTGTTTTAATACTTCTGGGTGTCAGGAATGGATTAATTGTATTTACATTATTTCTCATGGGGAAAATTGATTCGAAAATCGTCTTTTTCGATAATCGTCGTACTTCCAGAAACGGATTAACGACAATAAACGAGGGACCACTGTACTGGGATGCCCTAAATCATGACCCATCACTCTTGGTTATTATCCAAGAAATAGAGAAACTCAAAAGCAATAAATATTTATAACATACAAAGGAAATCATTTTTTTTAACAAAGTAGAAAAATTACTTAATGATACCTAAGAAAATAAGAAAACCTTTCTGAAACAAAATTTTTTAAAACTTCAGGAATGTAACCCTACTGATTATCAGACAATCTTCCCACACATGTAATGCACTTTTACATTACAAGTCAATTCTCAGGAAAATAATCCTGCATTATAAGGTTTACTGTACCATATACGTGAAATTGTTATTAGAGAGTCTAATATGCTGGATATCCATATCTGATGAATTAGACACATGTGAGACATCTGGGTATCTTTACTCTGCAGACGTTTTGTAATCCAGTATTTTTACAAAGTAAAGATACCCAGATGTTGCACATATGCCTAATTCATCATGTTGATATTGTACACCAGTGATAAACATCCATAGCTATCATGGTCATTGTCATGATGTTACCTAATATATGTTTCATTCTTATCAGTTTTTTACTGTCACTTATTTACATAAAGTGAATCAGTTTTCTTTCACAACTTGTCACTACAAACATTTAAATTTGGAATGCAACTGCAAGAAAAAAAAAATAGTAACTAACTGATTCTCATTCACAACACCAACCTTTCCCTGACTTTGCCAGCTCCCGTTCCTCTTCTAGCGGTTCATCTGGTAAGACTGCTGTTATACCAATACGCCGGTGGGCCATTACAATCATTCGCAGCTTGTCACCCATGTCCTGTAACTCGTGGATTTGAACAAATGTACCCACAGGATAGAGTTCACTCATATTATCAACAACTTCTCGCTCATCACTGAAAGTAAAGTTTACAGATTTCTTGCAGTTATTTAATAAACATCCACAAAATCTACTTTTCTATTCTTAGCAAATTAATAATTAATTTTTTGTAATTTGGCCATCTCCCATAGTGGTAGAGCAACCCGACAAGGAAAAAACTTTCATTGTCACTCATTCAATCGTTGTCTTACCAGAAGTGTGCTGACAACACTTCAGACGACCCTCCAAATGGCAACATCCTCACCCCTCCTTCAGCATGCAAGCCCAGTACTTCCCACCTCTAGGACTCAAGTCCAGCTAACAAGTTTCCCAGAATCCTTTCATAAATGTTAACCTAGCTCATACTCCAACTGCAAGTCAAATCATCAAAAAATGCTTTCCCCAACTCCTATTTAACAAGCTCACATAAGCCAGTTCTCCATGGGTGAGTGGAGAAGAGCCCTTCCTCCATAAGCTATGCATGTCATAAGAAGTGACTAAAAGTAAAAGGAAAAACTTGTTTCTTCTTTTACGGGGTCACCCTGCCTTGGTACAAGTTTAGTTAGTTTAATATCTTTATTATGCACCCCATACCCATCCTGTGGGCGGTAGTCAAAAGATTATAGAGGTACATAATGGGTCCAGGGACTGGGCCTCAAAATTTTGATAGCTGAGCAAGTTACAAAAGTAATGAACTCACAATTTACAAAGGTAATGAACTCCAGGTAGGTCTGGTCACAATCACAACAAGTTACAAAGGTATTTACAGATTACAGAGGTACATAATGGGTCCAGGGACTGGGCCCCCAAAGTTTTGATAGCTGAACTAGGTATAAAGGTAATTAACTCGCAAGTTACAAAAGTAATGAATCCTGTAGGTATCCTTACTTACGTTTATACATGGCTACGATCATGAACAAATTATAGAGTAATAAGCAATTCACACTTCCACACCCGGTCACAACTGTAATGAGTTATTGGTGCAAATATTGATTGTTGAGACACACACACACACACACACACACACACACACATACACACCAGTTTGGAACCCACACCTAGCCAAGCACGTGAAGAAACTAGAGAAAGTGCAAAGGTTTGCAACAAGACTAGTCCCAAAGCTAAGAGGTATGTCCTACGAGGAGAGGTTAAGGGAAATCAACCTGACGACACTGGAGGACAGGAGAGATAGGGGGGACATGATAACGACATACAAAATACTGAGAGGAATTGACAAGGTGGACAAAGACAGGATGTTCCAGAGATTGGACACAGTAACAAGGGGACACAGTTGGAAGCTGAAGACACAGATGAATCACAGGGATGTTAGGAAGTATTTCTTCAGCCACAGAGTAGTCAGTAAGTGGAATAGTTTGGGAAGCGATGTAGTGGAGGCAGGATCCATACATAGCTTTAAGCAGAGGTATGATAAAGCTCACGGCTCAGGGAGAGTGACCTAGTAGCGATCAGTGAAGAGGCGGGGCCAGGAGCTCGGACTCGACCCCCGCAACCTCAACTAGGTGAGTACAACTAGGTGAGTACACACACACACACACACACACACACATAAGCACAGTATCATCAGCAAAAAGTAACTGTGTCAATTCCCATTTTGAATTTGATTCCCCAAAATTTAATCCCACCTCTCTCCCGAACACCCTAGCATTTACTTCCTTTACAACCCCATCTATAAATATATTAAACAACCATGGTGACATTACACATCCCTGTCAAAGACCAACTTTTACCGGGAAGTAGTCTCCCTCTCTTCTACACACCCTAACCTGAGCCTCACTATCCTCATAAAAACTCTTTACAGCATTTAATAACTTACCACCTATTCTATATACTTGCAACATCTGCCACATTGCTCCTCTATCCACTCTATCATATGCCTTTTCTAAATCCATAAATGCAATAAAAACTTCCCTACCTTTATCTAAATACTGTTCACATATATTCTTCAATGTAAACACTTGATCTACACATCCCCTACCCACTCTGAAACCTCCTTGGTCATCCGCAATCCTACATTCTGTCTTACCTCTAATTCTTTCAATTATAACCCTACCGTACACTTTTCCTGGTATACTCAGTAAACTTATTCCTCTATAATTTTTACAGTCTCTTTTGTCCCCTTTCCCTTTATATAAAGGAACTATACATGCTCTCTGCCAATCCCTAGGTACCTTCCCCTCTTTCATACATTTATTAAACAAAAGTACCAACCACTCCAACACTATATCCCCCCCTGCTTTTAACATTTCTGTCATGATCCCATCAGTTCCAGCTGCTTTACCCCCTTTCATTTTATGTAATGCTTTACGTACCTCCCCCACACTTACATTCTGCTCTTCTTCACTCCTAAAAGATGGTATACCTCCCTGACCAGTGCATGAAATTACTGCCTCTGTTTCTTCCTTAACATTTAAAAGTTCCTCAAAATATTCTTGCCATCTACCTAATACCTCCATCTCCCCATCTACTAACTCCCCTGCTCTGTTTTTAACTGACAAATCCATACTTTCCCTAGGCTTTCTTAACTTGCTTAACTCACTCCAAAAATTTTTCTTATTTTCATTAAAATTTCTTGACAGTGCCTCTCCCACTCTATCATCTGCTCTCCTTTTGCACTCTCTCACCACTCTCTTTACCTTTCTTTTACTCTCCATATACTCTGCTCTTCTTATAACACTTCTGCTTTGTAAAAACTTCTGCCCCACATTCTAATACTGCATTTTTAAAACTATTCCAACCCTCTTCAACCCCCCCACTACTCATCTTTGCACTAGCCCACCTTTCTGCCAATAGTCGTTTATATCTCACCCGAACTTCCTCCTCCCTTAGTTTATACACTTTCACCTCCCTCTTACTTGTTGTTGCCACCTTCCTCTTTTCCCATCTACCTCTTACTCTAACTGTAGCTACAACTAAATAATGATCCGATATATCAGTTGCCCCTCTATAAACATGTACATCCTGGAGCCTACCCATCAACCTTTTATCCACCAATACATAATCTAATAAACTACTTTCATTACGTGCTACATCATACCTTGTATATTTATTTATCCTCTTTTTCATATAATATGTATTACTTATTACCAAATCTCTTTCTACACATAGCTCAATTAAAGGCTCCCCATTTACATTTACCCCTGGCACCCCAAATTTACCTACTATTCCCTCCATAACATTTTTACCCACTTTAGCATTGAAATCCCCAACCACCATTACTCTCACACTTGATTCAAAACTCCCCACGCATTCACTCAACATTTCCCAAAATCTCTCTCTCTCCTCTACACTTCTCTCTTCTCCAGGTGCATACACGCTTATTATAACCCAATTTTCACATCCAATCTTTATTTTACTCCACATAATCCTTGAATTAATACATTTATAGTTCCTCTTTTCCTGCCATAGCTTATCCTTCAACATTATTGCTACTCCTTCTTTAGCTCTAACTCTATTTGAAACCCCTGACCTAATCCCATTTATTCCTCTCCACTGAAACTCTCCCACCCCCTTCAGCTTTGTTTCACTTAAAGCCAGGACATCCAGCTTCTTCTCATTCATAACATCCACAATCATCTCTTTCTTATCATCTGCACAACATCCACGCACATTCAGACTTCCCACTTTGACAATTTTCTTCTTCTTATTCTTTTTAGTAATCTTTACAGGAAAAGGGGTTACTAGCCCATTGTTCCCGGCATTTTAGTTGACTTTTACAACACGCATGGCTTACGGAGGAAAGATTCTTATTCCACTTTCTGTAGACACCACCAAATAATACTGGTCCAACATATCTGACGTTCCTCTTCAAATGTGCACATCTAGAAGTCTACCCATCGAACTTTTGTATACTAATACACAGCCTAGTAAACTGCAGTCACTGCATCCTATATCATATCATGAAAACTTTTTTCTAAAGTAAGTATTACCTATTATCACCCCACTTTTTATACATAATTTAATTAAAGGCTCTTTTAAAAAATTGAAGGGAATATCATAAGGTACATACAGTATATGTACAAACAGCAACAGCAACTACATATACATAAGTGAGTACTGTTCAGTACAGCTCAATACTAATCTTTCAATGTAAGACACATGCAACAACAGGAACCTTTACTGATGAAATGTTTCACCTGCAATGCAGGCTTCATTAGCTGAATACAGAGAATGAATGAATACAGATGAATGACACTTCACACTTCTGGAAAGTTCAGTTTCAATGGAAGGTGAAGTGGACAAAGTGGAAAGGTAGTTTGATGTAGTCAGTTCATCACCCTTGGTGATGACAAGATAATCATTCTCTTAGACTAAAGCAGAAGTTAGTGGCCAGAGGCTTGTATACTGGAAGGTAAGGTATAGCAGCTTGAAGATGAGGTCACAGATGAGCTGGGCCCATTAGTGTAAGTAGGTCATGCTCAACAACAGTCAACTGATGAAGCTTGCAGAGCAAGCAAAACATTTCATCAATAAAAATTCCCCAAGTTGCACTTGTGTCTTACTCTTCAACTTGTTGCTACTGTATACAATTTATGTGATACTAACCTTTCATTTTTCTTCATGAAGACTCCAGCATATGGTTGATTAAGTCGAACTTTTCGTCTTATGAGATTTATGAGTTCTTTGTCTTCAACCTGTTAAAAAATTACATACATTTTCATTTCCAGTTTGTGGACTTGTGATATCTATTTAATTAACAGTGACTTGTTATATCAAGCTGATATTGTGACATATATTTTTTACAAGTGGAGTATATTTGTCATTATCTAAACCTGTAGTACTGTGACTAATTTCTAAGAAAACTAGCTAAAGCAATTACTAAAAGATAATTTAATCATAAGCAACTTATCTCACTTAGCTGTATCAATATAACTAACCCTGCTCTGCCAACCATTAACCCTTAAACGGTCCAAACAAATCGACGTTCAAATTCGTAGTGCTACAAAAGCAGATCTACTTTTTTTAACATATTTTCAAATGTAACAAAAAAAATGTAGATAAAAGTTTTTTTTTACATGTTTTCAAATGTAAAACAAAAAAGAAGATCTACATTTTTTTACATACTTTCAGATGTTGAAAAAACGTATATATACATTTGGACCATTTAAGGGTTAAAACAATAGAATACCAAAGACACAAAATTTCTACACCTCACAGCCATATTTAAAATCAGACTTTTTTCACTGACTGTCTGGTCAACCAGGCTACTGCTGGAAAAGTAGATACAAATGCAGTATAATGAGATCCTTTATTGACAACGTTTTGCCCACACAGTGGGCATTATCAAATCACAAACAAATGCGAAAACCTACTGTGTGAAAAGAACGTTCACATTATACTGCATTTGTTTACTTTTCCATTGTTGTCAGAGATCCACAACCACTAGAACCATTGTTTGTAAGCTCTGCTAAGTACAGCCAGCTTACAATTTTAAAACAACATTCCATTCTGATTAATATCTTTCTCCTCTTATCAACTCTTTCACTGTCATTCACACAGGTCTATGAAATTGGAGCCAGTGGTACTTTTGAAGATCTACATGTAAATCATTATTATTATATTACGTATTATTATTACTATTAATATATGTGTTAAACCCAAAAGGTTCATACAGTGATGAGCACTTAAGCCACCATAAATCATGCTGTGAGCAGCAAATATTGGCCTATAACATAGTGAACCCCTGCCAGTTTGGGTTTAGGCCAAAAAAAAAAGCACGAATGATACAATTATTCAGATGCTCGAATTATTATATACAGTGGTACCTTGACTTATGAGTGCCCCAACTTACGAGTTTTCCCGAGTTACAAGCTGTCGCTTGGTCAATTTTTTGCTTTGAGTTGTGAACCAAAATCCGAGTTACAAGTGAGCTTCAGATACGCTGCCACTAGTTGGCGCAGCGAATGCCAAAACATCCATCGAGCATCCCAGAGTTTTGTGCTTTTTGTTCAGTTATTTTGCCAAATTTCTTTTTCCTAACCATGGGTCCTAAGAAAGTAAGTGCAAAGGACAGTGCTGAGAAGAAGAGGATGATGTCCACTGAATTAAAGCATGAAATCATAGAAAAACAAGAGAAAATCACTTTTGTTTCAGTGTTTTCCTTATGAAACTAGTGATCTAGTGCAGTTAGCCTCACAAACATTCTGTTTTCTCTTATAATAAGACCTCAGAAGGGCAAGAATGGGAAGATATGGTCAGAGCGATCATTATTTTCACCTCGGGAGTGGCCGCCACCACTCATCACACACTGACACATTTTGTTCATTCTTGAGTACATATCATGTTTCTATATTATTTATATTGTTTATTATGTCACATTAGATCAATTGCGATAGATAAATAAGCCGCAGAGTTGATATTAGCATTATATCAAAGTATTTTCTCCTGCCTCCCAAGAGCCAGGAATCCTGTTGGAACAGATTAATGGCATTTCAGTTAATTTCAATGAGAAAAACTGATTTGATACATGAGCAAATTGAGTTATGAGCTTGGTCATGGAACGAATTAAACTCCTAAGTCAAGGTATCACTGTACAGCACTTGAAAAAATGAATATCCTCTGGGGCTCTTCATAGACTTACGGAAAGCATTTGATACAGTAGATCACAATATCTTGCACCTAAAACTAGAGCATTACGGGGTCGGAGGACACTCTCTTAATTACCTAAAATCTTATCTTAGTGATAGACACCAGTATGTATACACAAATGGCGTGACCTCCAATACTCTGCCTGTAGTTGTTGGAGAGCAACAGGGAAGTGTCCTAGGTCCTCTACTCTTTCTTATTTACATCAATGACCTCCCAAATGCATCGTGACTCCTTAAACCAGTTCTATTCGCAGACGACACCACTTATGTCTTCTCCCACCCAAACCCGGCTATATGTACTTATTAACACTGTAAACAGCGAGCTACATAAACTATCAAACTGGATGATGACCAATAAACTTACTCTCAATATAGACAAAACATTTTTTGACATCCCTCATGTCCATCTCAATACTATGCAAAAATGCAATGCACATAAAGGGTCCAAAGATCTGGAACTCTTTGCCTGAAACAGCAAGAGATCTCCTGCCCACAAACCAATTTAGGACTATACTCAAAAATCACTTCATCTGTCAATAACAACCATACCCACACTATGCTAAACTCTAACCAAATTTACAGGAACTCTCCCAAATATTTTATTATCCCTTAACTATTAAGCCATTATTACAAACTTAAAAATGTATGTTTGTATCATAAATTGTACTACCTCATATTACTGATAGAGTAAAATATTTAACATTTGTAATCTACCACTCTTCACCTGTCTAGACTTAAGTAGTCTTTAACCCCTTCAGGGTCAAAGGCTCAAATCTGAAGTGGTGCCCCAGTGTCCAAGAATTTTCAAAAAAAAAATTTATTATTTTTTCTTATGAAATGGTAGAGAATCTTTTTGTGAAGGTAATAAAACAAAAAGTACGAAATTTGATGGAAAATTTATGAAATTATGCTCTCGCGAATTTTGATGTGTCAGCGACATTTACGAATCAGCGATTTTGCCGACTTTGACTCCCATTTTAGGCCAATTACATTATTCCAGTCAACCAAATTCTTAGCTATTTCACTAATATTACTTCTATTCTATCAATTGAGCACAAGAAATCGCCAAGTCAACTGTTTCAACTACAAATTAAAGTGATCAGAAATTGTTAATTTGGCCAATTTAACACAAAGTTCAAAATATTCCAATTTCAAAATAGGGTCCAGAATAAACAATGTAGGTATTCCTGGAACTAAACTAACATTTCCTCTGTTCATTAGTTACGTTTTGAGGCTTTACAAATAAATTCCATTTTTATTTTTTATTCACATAATGAATTTTTATTCACACCAAAAAATAGAAGATTTACTGTTATGCAATATTGTAATAATTGTATAAATATCATCATCATATTTATGAATGTATATTAGACCCACCAGCTGGCGTGTATTAGATGTGTGAGGTCGTTTGTTTACTCTTGAATATCGGCAAAAATTTAACATTTCTGCTACTTTGAGCTCAGTTTCAAGCCATTTCCTGTGCTAAAACCAATCAAAATCATCTCTATTTCTGTAAAATGTCTTCCATTCTATCAATTGAGACCAAGAAATTGCAAATACAACTATAAAAACCATACGAAAAAACACTGCAAAGTCGCTGTTTTAATTGAAAAATCATGATTTCAGTTTTTTTCTCTCATTATACACAGTGTGCTGCAGGATCTGTTTTATGTGGTGCACACATACCACATAGATGTATTCTCTCATATCTAGGCCCAAATGTACCACTCACAGTTTATCAGAGTGAGCTGAGCTCATGACGTAGATCTACGGTTTGGACCCTAAACGTAAAGCCGTAGATCTACGGGACGGACCCTGAAAGGGTTAAGTACAGTGGACCCTCGACCAACAATATTAATCCGTTCCAGAGAGCTCATTGTTAGACGAATTTATCATTAGTCGAATTAATTTTTCCCATAAGAAATAATGGAAATCCAATTAATCCATTCCAGACACCCAAAAGTATGAAAAAAAAAAATTCACATGAAATATACATTTTCTTACACAGAAAAAGAAGGATACATGCACAATAAACAATGTACTGTACTAAATGAAGAATAAATGACACTTACCTTTACTGAAGATGTAGTGATGAGTGATGAGATGGGAGGAGGGGAGATGATGGAGGAGTTTACAATTGTTTGGAAGGGAAATCCTCTTCCATAAAGACTTTAGGTATCAAGTCCTTTTCCGGGGTTACTTCCCTTCTTTGTTTTTTAATGCCACTGGGAACTACTTGAGGGTCACTGGACCTCTGTTGCAACAAAAATCTGTCTATAGAGCTCTGTACCTCGCGTTCCTTTAAGATTTTCCTAAAGTGGTTCGCAACATTGTCATTGTAGAAGTCACCAGCATGGCTTGCAATAGCTGTGTCAGGGTGATTTTCCTCCATAAAGGTTTGCACCTTTGTCCCCATTGTACACATTTCCTTTATTGAGGAATGCAACTTCCTCAATTTCTCTCTCCCCTCCTCTGAAGCAATTTCCTCAGTTGTGGCCTCTTGCTGTTGCAGATGCTCTTGCAGCTCATCAGTGGTTAGTTCTTCATCGTCGTCCTCCACCAACTCTTCCACATCCTCCCCACTAACCTCCAACCCCATGGACTTCCCCAGTGCTACAATTGACATAGGCTCCTCAGGGTTAGCCCCAAACCCATCAAAATCCCTCTCTGTACCATTCGGCCAAAATTTTCCTCCAACAAAGTTCAAGGTCCTTTTAGTTTACTCCCTCCCAACCCTCCCCATGGGTTTATCAATTGGGGTACAAAAAGTGATCTTTCCCAAAACTCTTTTAGGTCAATCGAGTGTCTGAGCCTTCAAAAGATTTTTTGGAAACTTGTTTTGGGTGTCTTTTTTTTGAAATTTGAAATGACCGCGGGTCCGGGGCTGGGGAAAGGAGTTGTATTAGGAGGCAAAAACTTATTTTAAATAAAACTCAACTCCCCCAAAAATTCCTCTGGAATCTGAAGGATGAGCAGAGCATTGTTAATACCAGGGGGGCATTAAGTCCAATTTTTTTTTCCCAGAGAAATTTTTTCACAGGGGCCAA